AACCTAAGAACTTACATGCATATGTGCATAACCCATGGACACAGGCAATAGTGTGGGGAAGGCCTGGGGGGAGAGGTGCACTGTGGAGGGAATCAATGCGGGGGAAAGTGGACATCTGTAATACTTTCAACAATAAATATAAATTTAAAAAATAATAATAAAAGAAATAATTACAAGGCACACCAAAGGGCAAAACATATAAGTTGAAGAGACGGAGCAGGCATCAGAACCAGACATGGCAGGTGTTTGTACTCAGCAAACCAGGAATTTGAAACAACTCTCGCTGACATGCTAAGGGCTTTTCTAGGGAGACAGCTTGCTTTTGCAGTAGGCCCAGCATATGAAAACAAGTTTCATACAGCAAGGTCTAGACTCAGCAATCACCCTGACTGCTGTTCATGGCACCTGCCTGACAGTCTGAATCTGTACTCACCTGATGTCACCACGTGGGTCAGGAATATCACTACTGTCCACTCAAAGCACTGGGCCTATGATACCTGAAAGAAGCCACAGACCAATGGGTGTCATCTGGTCACACACATACACACTCACACACACATTCTCCGACTCTCTCTCTCTCTCTCTCACACACACACACACACACACCCCTTTATTTAATGGGAAATTGGAACAGATTCACCTGATTTGAAAGAATAGTAAGGAAAATCAATAATTAAGACTAACAGAAGAGTTTAAAAATACTGTCTTAACTAGTGGTTCAGGATGAAAGGAATTCAGAGGTGGCAGAACTGTTTGGGTTGTATTTTTCCTGTACTTTATAACCAAGTCATGCTAAAATAAACCAAAACACAACTTAAACTAAATATACATCTCACTCAAGACTAATTACAAAGCAGGCATTTCAAATCAGTGTTGAGCTAATGTTTTTAGAACAATTATTTAATTTTCAGGGTCCAATATCTGTCAAGTAAATCACCAATTTCCATTTAATACTTATTTAATATAAGAGAATTGAGTTAGCACAAAGCTACTTCACAGCTGTCTGTAAACAGTCCGAGAGAAGGCAGCATTTGGGGCCTGCTTTGGCATCTCCAACTTGTCAAACACTCTTTTTGTTCAAATGTTAAAGAACACCAAAAGTTACGTTTTATTACTAAGTTTCAAGCTGGCTTCACAATCTCAGGTTTTAAATTGTGACTTTTCAAAAGTAACTTCAACATGTTGAAATGTATGTTCATAAGGATAGGGGTTGGCTGCAGAGCTGAGCATGAAACAAATTATTTTTTAATCAACTTTCGATAATAAAAGAATCACCAGCTTAAGCTATTAATACATTTTTGTTAACAATCAGTTTTTCTTGCAATAAGTAGCAAACTGGATGTTCTAGTAGCAAATCTAGACTTCAAAGGAGTCAATAATCCCATTTCTCTAGTAAAATATACTTCCCAGGAAGGTAGATAGACTGCAAGTAAATAGTTGATGAATTGTTACAAGGCAAATGATAGTGAAGTGTTTGGTTGCGTGAGAGGACCGCAGGCTGGGCAGACGAGCCTGTGGGATGGGTCTGGGTTCTGGCCCCGCCTTGCACTCATCCTGTAAGTTAGGTGGATCTTGCTTCCATTTCTCTGACCCTTGGCTTCATGGTTCATCAGATGGGGAAAGCGCCTGTCCTCCTCACTAGGGATTAATGTCTGTGAAAGAATCTTGAGAAAACCTCCCACACATACCCTGTAAAGGAAAGGCAACTGATGAATGGCTTAAAGCCTAGAAATTTCATTCTATTTCAATGTGATGCATAAATAGACCTTTTCCATAAATAAAAATCCAGAGACTATTCTTATACATTGTATCACCTGCTGAACACAAGGGGGAGACCACGGTTTTAACAGTATTGCTATCTATAGATATGTAGCAGCTCTCACTGTAGAACTGGCTTGTTACTGAGTGTAAAATCATGAGAAATGTTAGTATTTGTTGTTTATTGAATGGAATACTCCTAAACATTCAATTTGTATCTATCCAGTCTTGAAATCTGAGATTGAAAAAAGATAAAGCTGGCATTAGTCTGGATTTTGGAGGTTTTTCTATATCAACTATTGTTATGGCCTTTTTCTTCTTGAAAATAGAAATAAAAGGTCATATTCAGGGTTCAGATAGTATGATTTGGCTCAACAGGTATCACAAACCAAAGACACTGCTACAGTGGTCACCAAGACCCACTCAGGTTTTCATCTAAGAAAGTCAGTAGCTCCCTGGCTCCTCTTACTAGGCCCTGAAGGAAGGAAGGAGAGCTACGGTCCCTCCCGGTTGGCTGAGGTGGCCCTGGGCAGGGCTGAGTGTGGCCTGACTGTGCTGATGGACACACCAGGCCTGCTGCAGCAGACAGCGCACCTGGGGTGGCGCTGGGACCCGGTCCAAGCAGGTCTCTCTCCAGGATGGGAACCAGGGAACCAGAGGAAAACCACTAACACCATGTCCACTGAGTCATGTCCACCCAGAGGGGAAGGAAGCCTGGCCTGCAAACCTCCCCCGGGGGGAGGGAAGAACAGACTGAGCGCTTTCCATCTTTCCCTGTTTATCCATACACTTTACTTGGATTTTCCTGAAGTGCTTAATATGGTGAAGTAAGCAGAAAAACCTGAAATGCTCAGCCCAGAAGCAATTCTGCAACACCAATGTTTTTCTGTTAATTAGGTTTTAGAACTCTGCTAATTGTACTATAACTTATGTGCCATAAGTTATATAGGTAGACACAAATTATACAGATATGTGCACCCCATGTTCACTGGAGCATTATTTACAATGGCCCAGACATGGATGAGTGCGTAATACACACAGTGGAACATCACTCAGCCGCAAAAGAGCAAAATCTTGCCCTTTGCGACACTGATGGACTGTGAGGTCATTACACTAAGTAAAGTAAGTCAGAGAAAGACAAATACAGCATGATCTCGCTTACATGTGGGATCTAAAACAAAAACAAAACAGAACAAGCGCACAGATACAAAGAGCAGGTTGGTGGGTTCCAGGGCTGGGGGAGGAGAAATGGGTGGAGGGAGGTCCAAAGGTGAAAAGACAAACAAACCCTGAGTGTCAACTTATCAAAAAAGAAAAAGATTCTCCTTCCAAAAAAAAGAAAAAACATGTATATAGACTGTAAACTAGAAAAAAATTAGGTAATTGTAAGAGATAGCCACTCCTTAACAAAAACAGTCGTATCGCTCTCTAGTCCATAACATCCGTACCTGCTGTGTCCCAGGCGGACAGGCTGCTGAAGGAATGGGAGCTCTTTGAAAGATTTCAATACGTTCCTGTTCATTTTTGTCTTTTAAATCTGCATCTGAGGGTATTTTTTCCATTCCTTTTTCAGAGAATGGAAGGGAGATAGAGAAAAACCACGTCGCTTGGTTTCCTTCCACACACACCTCGACCATGGCTGGGGCTCACACCAACTCAGGACATGTGGCAACACCTGGGGACACTTTCAGGTGTCCATGTGTGGGGGAAGGTACAACTGGCATCTAGTGGCGGAGAGCAGAGATGCAGCCATGCAGCCCGCGAGGCACAGGACAGCCCGCCACAGAGAAGCCTCCAGCCCAGGGTCAGGGCACGCGGGGAGACTGCCGCTCTACCCATCCGGACCTCTCCCCAGCCTAGCAGAAAGCAGCTCTTCTTGAAAACGGACCAAGGGAGAGGCAGAGTGGGTGGGAACTAAGGACAGCACGGCCAGAGTCGGAGCGGTTTTAGGGAGAACCAGTCAGGTTAGACTGGGAGCCCTGCCCTCCAGCTGTGGCCCTGAGCCGGGATCAAGTGTCACCAGGTGCGCAGGTGGGCGATTCCCATGTGCTCAGGCCGCTTCCTACCCAGTGATCCGAGAGAAACACATCCTTCCGACACTGCCGCAGGTGTGTACGGTCCACAGACTCTTCTAGAAAAAAGTTATTTGAAACTCCACTCCAGCTGGCTAAGAACTGGCTCAAAATTAAGAAATGAAACACGGGGGGAGCTGGGCAGCAGAGCTCAGGCCCCAGTGTGCGTGTGGGTGAGATACCAGCTGGGCTGGGAAGGGACTAGCTGCGCGGCCGAGCCTGCTGGCCTGGGCAGAGGCTGCCAGAGCAACTGTCAGGTCAGCCCACGTTTGGGACAAGGGTGGAGGGTTACGAAACAAGTCTTGTTTGTCAGAACATAACTAATTTTTTCCAAAACATAAGAGTTGACTGGTGTTTTTTTTTCCAAAATAATTCAAGTAAGCAATTTTTCACATCTCTGAAATGAATGTTGAGTGACTTGGGTCACAGATTTTTTAACAGGTAAGGATGTCATTGATATCAGTAACCATGAAGCCCCTGCCATTTGCCATGTGGGAGTCCCTGTTCCCTCGTTAATAACGTTTAAGAACCATGACAAACTGTTCACTGTACTCAGATACAGAGCATTAAGCATAAAGACGGAGGCAAGGATTTTCTACAAGCAGAATTTATTTTTTACAATAAATATTTTAAAAAACCATTATACACTATATATACCAATAACTATTGGGCAAATAAATGCATAGGAAAAGGCTAGAAGGAAATGAACCAAAGGTAGTCCTTCCTTCCCGTCTTCCTTCCGCCCCCCTTCATCCACCTGCAGACTCACGACTGCCGGGCACGGCCTCTCCGGGAGCGAGCTCTGTCTCTCCTCGTGACCGAGTAGAAGCCTGAGCGTGAGCAGTTTTACTTAGAAAGCAGCAGGGGCTGGCTGCAGCCTGACGGAGCCCCCCTCGGGGGCGCTGCAGCTGTGCAGCGGTCTACCAGGTAAGCCTCTGAGGGGCCCACTTACTTTGAAGTAACTCTGAAGAGCCATGAGGCTTCCCCCTGCCCCTTGTAAAATTTATTTTTTAAGCAAATTCTTAATTTTTAGGGGGAAAAATCATTTTTTATATAAGTAATGTGTACTTTTTTGAAGAGTAAACTTTTATGTCTTTCTTTAATGTTATTTAAATATCATGAAGTATTTTCCTGAGAACAGAGGTTTTGGGGTAATAAAAATAAAAGAAGTATGCGGTGGAAGACGAGCCTGTTTCTACGGAGCGAACTACACCAGCCCCTTTGTGAATGAGACTTGTCTTCACATTTGTCTTTCCCACTCTTTCGTCTGCTTTCCTTCCGCTTGTTTTCCAAGGTGATCTTCCAGGAGCTGGTGCAGCCGTGGCTCGCACTGGCTCGCGTGCTGCAACCCATCTTCCCTTCCTAGAAAGGCACAAACCGTGAGGTGACGATTTCACAGTGGCCCCCGCCATTCAGTCTCCTCCCGGGTGGCAGTCAGAGCCACCCCTGCCCGAGCCCCTCCAAGGACAACCCCAAAGCCAGTTTTAATCCAGAACGGTGGAGCCGGACGCCCTTCCCTTTTACCTTCGCAGTGCTGGATCACACGCCCCCACAGCCGGTTTTTCCTCAAACAGGCCAAGTTCCCCACGATCAGTAGATGCCTTTTGCCTCGGGTCAGGGCCACATTCATTCTCTTCTCCGAGTCAATGAACCCCACCTGTCTCGTCCGCACACAGGACAGGACGATGACCTCCTTTTCCGCTCCCTGGAAGGCGTCCACCGTGGACACCTGGACGGCTCTGAGGCTGGGGCGGTCGGAGTCCACAGCACCAAGCAGGTGGCACAGCTGTGGGGGGAAGGAGACGGTCACACCCTTCAGGGACCATGAAGAAACAGAGATGGAGCCCCTCACAGCTGTATTAACTAAAGTGGAAATTTCACTTTCTTTTCTGCGACTCGCATAGATTTGCCCAGTTTCTAAAATGATAGACACATAACTAGATGACAACATAAATGATGAGGCAGAATGAAAGCGATGATTTAATCTATTGCTAGGAAGCTCATTTGGATATGCTAAGTCGGAGCTGATAAACTAACAATGAAATGCGAAAATACTAAAAAATAAACTAGTTACATGCAGTTGGCTCATAGGTACGTTACTATCTGGTGTCTGTCCTTGACTTACTGATAAAATGTAGTAATAATGAGGGAACAGTTTGGAAAACAGAGTCAATCCCATCTGTCCCGAAACATGAAGCACACACACATTTTCTTCCCTCTAATTTGTTTATTTGCATTTTTGCCCCAACAGCTGTAAATTGAATTTAATTAAACCTTTTTAGGTTTACATTTAATTATACAGAAAAAAAGCCAGACCACACAAAAATCAGAATGTTCCTTTTTGAATACATTAATTACTGTCCCAAAAGATTCCAAGCACTAAACCAAACCCTTACAAATATAATATCAAACGCTGTGATGGAAAATTTTGTTTGGTACACAATGAAGTCCTAGAATGGAGCACAAACCTTGACCAGCTGGGCCCTGTACAGTGTTATCACCCCAATCATGGAGCCAGCAACTCCACTTGCAACCAGGGACCGAATCAGCGTCAGTGTGAAAGCAGCTTCCGCCTCATTATGAAAGCTGTTACCTCCTTCCATCTGGAATGAAAAACAGACCTGAAATTACACTTCCCAGAATGGCGAGAAAAGACCGAGAAAACCACACAGACCACAGCCATAACATTAACCAGGAGACTGCGTGGTGCAGCCCTTGCGCTGACGGCGCTCACCTGCTCGCGTCCTTGGACATTGTAGAAGCACAGGGTGGGCAGCCAGTCCAGCAGGGGGCCCCTCTCGGCCTCAGAGACGCCATCCCTGAGGCTCCCACCATAGAACAGGTCATTAGCGACAGCAGTGATTGCAGGGTGGCATCGGTACTGGGTTCTCAACAGAACTGGCTTGTGACCCTAAAACATTTAAATGCAGAAAAATAAGAACTTAAAATGACACTTTCTCTTAAGGAAAAAAAGGTAATATTTTAAGTTAGAAGTGTTACCGTGTTATGCTCTTAGTAAACAGAGTAGAAACATGACAAAGCAGACAATAAATAATAATTTAATTACTGAAAATATTTTCATAGTAAATTACTATTATACCATAAAATTATAAAATATGAAACATGTCAAACCTTAGATTTACTATCTAATAAGTAGGGGGATGAAATCTTGCACCATCTGGACCTATCCCTCCCAAATCATCCCTTTGTCCAGCGTGTCCACCCTGCAGACACTTAGCCGTCTCAAGTTATCAGATGGGCTGCCACAGTATCACAGGGCATGTGTTCAAGTCACCCTGATTTTCTTAATAATGTCCCCAAAGCACAATAGTAGTGATGCTGGAAATGTGAATAGGCCACAGTGTATGTGTGTATAGGAAAAAAACCAGCATATGTAGGGTTCCCATCGAAGCTGCAGGCATCCACTGGGGACTTGGGACGTGTTCCCTCTGATAAGGGGCGACTACAGTGTGACAGTACTGACACGTGCTGCAGTGTGGACGAGCCTCAAGGGCGTGCTGAGTAAAAGAAGCCAGACACAAGGTCACACATTGTGTGGTTCCCAGCTGCATGATATGAAGGTTGTAAGACTGTGATATATGAAGCACCCGGAACAGACAAATCCACACACTGGGAGCATACTGATGGTGGCCAGGGCCAGGAGGGAGGAGGGAGCAGAGGTAGGGAGTGGGTGCACGGCACTGTGAATGTAATAAATGCCACTTACTTTAGGATGGCTAAGTCTATGTTACGTGAATGTCACCTCAGTTAAAAATATATTAATGGGCTCTGGCTGGTTTGGCTCAGTGGTTGGAGTGTCAGCCTGAGGACTGAAGGGTCCTGGGTTCCATTCCCGTCAAGGGCATGTACCTTGGTTGCAGGCTCAATCCCTGGCCCGGGTCAGGGCGTGTGTGGGAGGCAGCCAATCAATATGTTTCTTTCTCTCTCTCTCTGAAAAGCAATGGAAAAAATATCCTCAGGTGAGGGTTAACAAAAAAATAACAACAAAAAGTTTAAAAGTGAGGGAGAACTCTGAAACAGAGGACGTGGGTAATAGAGGGATTATAAGGTTTTTTTAATTTTAGAGCAAAAGCAATGTACTTCTACCTACGACTAAAATACACAGGAAAAAGATTCATTTTATAAAGGGGCACTTAAATTATGGGGTTCTACTTATGTCAGACAGACATGAGCAGAGCAAGGACAAAGGGCCAGGTACAGAGACTCACCAGGGCAGAAGGCTCCGGATGCCTAGCAAGGGGCAAAACTGGGAAAACAAGACCCTTGTCCCCAGGGGACCTTTCCTCCCCCAGCACATTCCTGGTCATGTGGTTTAGACTCCTGAGCGTTTCTTCCCTAAAGATAACATCCAGGTCTCAGTTGTGTTTCAGCTCCAGGCCCAAAAAGCAGCAAAACCAGACAAGTGGCGCAGTGGCTGCCTCAGGACCAGCCACACGGACTAATGACCCCCTTGTCCTGGCACCGACCAGTCCGTGGAGGCCAGGACCCTGAAAGGGCTCACCTGGAAAGCAGATGAATATTCTATTGGACCCTCCCCTGAGACCACCCCTAAGATTCCCGCCTACAAGAAAGAGAGAAATACACTCAGGACAAAGGACCCAGTGCGCCCTTCCCACCAGGGGAGCATGCCGGCGCCATCTCCATCCCTCCAAGGGGACCCCAGGAGATTTGCAACCAAGGGAGCAATGGGCAGCAGCCGCTCGACCAGGGCTCATCCCCTGACCCTGTCCCAAGGCCCCCTCTCTCTGACCTCTCAGGGGCCAGAGCAGCCCAGCCAGGCTCTCCTGCTGCCACTTGCATGCACCCTCCCTGCCTCACTGCCCCGAGTGTATTTTGCTGCCATCCTGGACCCAGCACCCTTGGGCTCAGTGCTGTGTAGCCCTTCCCTTTGGATACCCATCCTCCATCCCCTTTCCTTAAATAAATTCTATTTTTCTTTATTCACCATCTGAGAGGCTATCTAGCTGCCCGCACACCACCGACGTTAACCTTTCAACTTATCTTTAAGATGGCTGCTTTCTAAACAAGTCCAATTAAAATTATTTTAGGGCAGGGGCTAGGTCTTCCAATATTTTCGTTTTCTAGCAACCTGCACAGTGTGTAACCAGGAAGTGGTAATCTGGGTGAGTTTAGCAGTAGTACCATTAAGCAAAGTCGATCAAAGAGAGTTTGTTCCAATCCATTTTCATGAGCGGCATCGGATCCCTGGAGAGTGGGAGGAAGTTGTTTGGGGTCTCCAACAAGAATCAGCTTTTCACATTCGAATCTGAAAACAGAATCCTAAAGTTAGACCAAGTGACAGGAAAAGCTATGACATTTACTGCCCTATTTTCTAAAATGCATTTCAAAGAATTAGAATACCATGCCTGCTCTGAGGACAAACTTAACAGTGCTAATGAGTGTATTAAAAGGCTTTGAAGTTATGCAGTAAAGAAATCCTTTATATAACTTTATTTTTTCCACATAAAGCCTACTAAGTGCCCTTCCTCTGCATGGAATCTGTATTTCACAGAACACACTTTGAGAAACAATGATTTTTAGAATCAATAAATGTAGACTTAGAAGCTTTCTTAGAAGTCATTTGCCTTAAATTCTTAGAAGTAAATTAGGCTCTCAGGAGCTAAATATCTTTCCAAGTAGGAATAAGACAGGGAAAATGCCCAAGTTTTGTAGAAAAACTGCAATATTGTAATTTATAAGAAATATATATATTTGATCATTCAGATGACCAAAATCTATTTGTTGTACACATCTGGTTTTCATCCACAATTCCTGGCTCACAGCCCCAGAATTCCTTGGAATTTCCAAAGTGTTGAAAGAGATCAAGGTCTTTTGTTCCGTGAATGAGGCGACTTTTGCAAAGCACCTAAGGATGGGGACTGGTTGCCAGGGGAACCATGTGATTGGAGGGATGGAACTTTCAGCCCCAGGCCCAACCTCAACCTCCAGGGGGAGCGAGGGGCTGGAAGTTGAATCGATCACCAGTGGTCAATGAGCTAATCAATCATGTGCATGTAATGAAGCCTCCATAAAAACCCAAAAGGATTCAGAGCTCCAGGTTGGTGACCTCGTGGAGACGTGGGGAGAGTGGTGGCTGGAGAGGGTTTGGCAGCTCTGTGCCCCTCCCCCACACACTTGTCCTGCACACCAACCCCACCTGGCCGTTCCTGAGTGACGTCTTCACAACGAGCCAGCGATCTAATAAGTGACGTGTTTCTGAGTTCTGCGAGCCGCTCTGGAAAATTAATGGAACCCAAAGAGGGGCCGTCGGAACCTCTGATTCATAGCCAGTCGGTCAGAATTGCAAGTAATAGCCTAGACTAGCGGCTGGCATTGAGCTGGAGGGGTCACTGGAGCCTCCAGTCTGTTCCCAGCTGGTCAGAAGCCCAGGACTTGCCGCTGGCGCCTGAAGTGGGGCCTTGCAGGACTGAGCCCTTACCATGTGGATCTGACAGTGTCTGCGGGTAGGTAGTGTCAGAATGGAGTTGATTCCTGGACACCCTACTGGTGTCAGAACTGCTTGTTGGAGGTCGGGGAACCCTTCCTCCTCCCCTACCCCACATTGGAATTGGGTCTGGGAACCCATATTTCAAAAACCTACATTCACATCTCAGCTCTATTATATTCTATGGACACAGAAAGTTACTTAATCTCTCCGAATTTCAGCACTCTGTCAGGGACCCGGTCATGACCACACCCTGCACGGTATAGTGAGGACTTAGTAAAGCACGTGACAGTGTGTTTAGTATACAGTAGGGGTGACTCCTCCACCCTCCACGCAGGGCCCTAGCGCTCCTTTGTCCCTGGCTCCTGGTAGGATGACCAACTCATCCTTGTTTCCTCAGGACAGTCCCAGTTTAAACAGTGAAAGCCTTGTGATGCAGGAACTATATCCCAGCCAATCGTGACAACTGGGACTGGCTCCCTCCTCACCTGGGGACGGGCCTATTGAGTCCAAGCCCAGGACTCATCCCGCCACCTTCAGGATGCTTTAGTGAGGGAAGCTTTAAAGCAGGGGTAGGGAGCCTTTTGTCTGACAAGGGCCATTTGGAAATTTATAACATCATTCATGGGCCATACAAAATTATCAAATTAAAAATTAGCTTGCTCTGTTTGGTCAAACAATTAACTCACCCCTAATGTGATGGCGGGAACTGCTTCTCTTTGGTGAGGCCTGTGATGTTTGCTGGTACTGATGATGCTGCTACTGGCAGCTGCTATTTCAGGTTTGTGTCAGTCAACCTGGAGCACAGTTGACTCTTTGAGATGCTAAGTTTTGAAAAGATCTGCTCGCAGCAGTAAGCTGTTCAGAACACAGATGCGTATTTCATTGCATGTCTCCTCAAAGTGGGAAACTCATCTCTGCTTATGTAGCGTTTGTGGAACTCGAGCAGCGGGAGCCTGTTGCCCCCAGCTTTCAGCTCATCACCGCTCTGTAGCAGAATGATTTCATGTTGTAGGTTATCAGGCCCATCAGTTGGGCCCACACTGAACCGGTGGCAAAGATGTTCAGTTCCACTTGTTTCCTTTTCACGTCCCTGAATCTTCTGTTAAATGCCTCAATTAGTTTCGCACATCCAGGGGCATATTCAAGTGTTGTAGAAGGCTTCGGTCCTTCCAGACCAGGGAAAGGCACCATGGTATTGCTTTGGGGTTGCACTTTCCACAGCCTTAATTTAGCTTCAACGATTTCACGGTTGGAAGCAGAAAGCCGAGACGCTGGTTGGGGCGCTGCAGCTTGAAGCTGAGCTTTGAGAGGTACTTGGTAATGTACACCATGACGCTAGATCCCACAGCCTCTTACCATCACTGAGTTCCCTGGCAGGTTTCCCTCCATCTCCATGAACTGCTTGACTTCATGGCCCAGTTCCTAAAACCTCATGAGCATGTTCCCGCAACTCAGTCACCACACTTCACAGTGATAAACAACGTCACTATTCCCTGAGTCAAGATGATTCAGTAACACCTTAAACAGGCGGCTGTTAAACCCTCTGCTTTTGACAAAATTTATGCCTGACACTACTGTTGACAAAGACTTTCTTGGTGTATGACGCAGTGGCATATAATTAAATCATTTGCATTAAGACTGAGATGAACTCAGCCGGCATGGCTCAGTGGTTGAGCGTCGACCTATGAACCAGGAGATCAGTTTGTATCCGGGTCAGGGCACATGCCCGGGTTGAGGGCTCGATCCCCAGTGGGGGCTGTGCAGGAGGCAGCCGATCGATGACTCTCTCGTCATTGATGTTTCTATCTCTCTCTCCCTCTCCCTTCCTCTCTGAAATAAATAAAAACATATAAAAAATTTTTAAAAAAACAAGGACTGAGATGATTTAGTTCTTTCTTGACAAACACAATTAAACCTTTTTGCGAGCCAGCCATGGCTGGAGCTCCATCTGTAGTAAGGCCACTTAACTTTTCAAATGTTAGCTCCAGTCCTTTCATTGATAAAACAAGTCTCAGGAACAAGTCCTCACCTCTTGTGCTGTGCATGGCTTCCAGTGACAGCAGTTCCTCTTGCGTGTCAAACTCTGCAGTTATCCCACAAACAAAAATGGCCTGTTGGGCAGTATTTGTTGTGTCTGTTGTCTAGTCACAAGCCAGAGAGAAAAACTGGAAATCTCCTGCAGAATCCTTCAGTTTTTTCCATGTCTTGTGCTAAGTCAATAATCTGATCTGAGACGGTTCTCTGAGACAAACTGACACACTGAGACAATTTTACTGTCTGGTGCTAACAACTCCGCAGAGGCCGCCGTGCACTCTCACAAACTCCCCCTCTATATGAGGCCTCAGCTTCTTTGTGATTAGCTCACTCACTACATACCTCGTCTGAATAACTTTGTCTCTGTCACAAGGCCTAGTGAAAGCGGCTTATTGATTTCAGACTCCGCTGAAGAGTGTGGATTTTATCCAGATGCATTTGGCCTCCCAATTCATTGAGTTTAGCATGTTTTGAGCTGTAATGATGCTCCCAATTGGCTTTTTTCATTACTGCTAACGCATCGCCATAAACTAGGCACACAGGTTTGCCTTTGACTTGAACAAAAAAATAAACATTTGTACATTTCTGTTGGAAAGATCGACACTCTGCATCAACTTTTCCTGGTAGTCGCCATTTGTAGGACGTCACACCACTTAAGTTCTAATAACCATCCAGTGTGTGTGTTGCCAGCGATGTGATTATTTTGCTTTGATTGCTGTTCTAATCCTGCGTCTTGGATTTGGAACATATCCAATGTCCGTATCGCCTCCTGAGGTCTCTTCTGTGCACTGTAACTTCCTTAATCTTCCTCTGAGATTGCTTTTGTAAGCATTGTTCGTCGTGGATGTGTGGATACAGGCTGGATTGCAGTCATCTTCTGTGTTGACAACATCGTCCTCAATCACTAGAGGCAAGGTCGTCAACATCTCGAGGAATCATCTCATCGCATCTCGTCTCATCATCAGGGGTCACTGTAGTTTCCCCACAGTGTTAACCCTTTCTCAGCGTGTACACTCCCAGCCTGCCTGGCCCTGACTGTCCTCTGAGTCACCACAGTACCGGCAGACAGGCCCTGGGCAGCCGACGAGAAGCACATCTGTCTGTCCTGTCATGTGCTCGTATGTGTCTTGCCTGTCCCGTAATGGACATTCCTTGCTTGTCCCTCAAAATTGATGTTATGATGATGATTCACTTAATATACATTTATGTTGCTATGAAAAAAGCTAGATTTATTGAATTTCGAGTCCCGCCTGTGGTTGCCTTGGCAGGGCCAGACCAGATGATTTCGAGGGCCTTACACGGCCCTGGGCCCACGTTCCCCACCCCTGCCCTAGAAGCAGGTGTCAGTGGTTGAGATAGCCTACAAGAGTTCAGTGTTCTAAATTTTAAGACAAATTATCATTTTCAACTTATTTTTCTTTATATACTTCATGTCCTTTCATAATCTAAAAACTGTTTTCTGAAACTAAGCATGGGAGTTATATGAAGGTAAGGCAACGGAAGAACATTCCTAGAGTCTGGGTTCTTGGACGACAGCTAGAGGCACCTTTCACCTAGTGAGAACCCAGTACACAGTTCTAGGAACACCCCAGTTACAGATCACATCACCCAAATGTCTAAACTGCCATCTAACAAAACTTGATACCTTAACCCCTCAAAATTCCCCTCTGCATTCTTTAAAAAAAAACCAAACAGTTTAGTACTTGAATTGCTAAGACTTTTCACAAAAGCTTGGTAGAGTCTGCACTGAGGAAATGTGGCGCACCTGCCCCTAGGGCCTGTGTGGCAGTTTTGTCAGCCTACCTGGCAATGGGAAGGAGAGAGGCCGGCTCGGTTATCTGACTGCACTCGTCCAGCACAACCACGGGAAACTTCAGGTCATCCATGCATGGGAACGGACAGGCCGCGCAGGTGGCCCCGACTATGCGAACCTTCATACAGGAAGGATGCTATAATTATCAACTAGTTAAAAAAGAGGGAGTATTTACAAAGAACTTTATGGGTAAAATCTGAGCTGTAAGTGGGAATTACTGGCCATCAGAAATCACAGGTCACTATGTCCACATTTTCACTGCTCCACATGAGATGCCAGTCAGAGTGCAGCTGCTTAAGCAGAAAGCCTGTTCATGAGAATAAAAGGCACTTTCTGACACACAGAAAGCAGGTATGATAACACCCAGAATTTTTTAAATGCCAAGGATAATACACATTTTACCCTTTTAGAGGAGGCAGGATGAACACAGCACAGGCCAGCTCTTCACGGAGCGCACTGAACACACTGATGAACAGACGTGATTAACTGTCAAGCATACGTGTCATCTGACTTACTAGGAAGGAAGAGACAGCTGACTAACGTGAACAGTATATTCAATGCTCTTATAGCTGTAAGTTTATGTGAACCATACAGACTTAAATATTATACTAGAATACCATTATTCTCAAGGCAAAATGCCTGATAAAAGCTAATATTTAATCTCTGGAACTAAATATAAAAAAGAGGACAATCAATGAATTTTCTAATTGGATGTGGTCACTGGCCTGGTAGTGTATGTGTGTGTATGCATACGACACGTCCATGCACACGTACACATACAAAAATGTGTGTAATATACATACAAATACAAACACATGCACATGTACGCACATACAGCCACGTGCATGTATATGTGTGTACACGCATGCAAATACACCCAGGCATACACACATGTAACTATACACACCTATATGCAGACACATATGTAAGTACATATACACATGTTTGCACATTTTATATACACACGCGTTTATTTTTTTCTCCTCTCACAATAAAGTATAATTACACTTCTTGGTAGCAAGAGCCGTCCACGCAAACTGACCATATCTTTTGTCAACAAATGTGACTGACAAAAATATGCTTTACAATTAAATATTGCCTCCAGAGATCTTGTAAAATGGGAAAATGTTATAAACGATTTCTTTCCTTTAGTGATAAATACCATTCATCATATACAACAGCCCTTGTCAGCTAGGTTTTCCTTCCTTACCAAACAAAAACCCTAAAGCCACTTTTATATTAGAGCCTCCAGTTTTACACAGTCAGTTTCTCTAAAATGATCTGGCCGGGGATGCCTGCAGCTGCCACTCCACCACCGCTCGTTATCTAGTTTCTGGTAACTGTGTCTCACAAAGACCACCTTAGGATGAGAACCTCAAGTTCTGAATCAGGAAGCTTTTTTCAATTTTTATTTATTTATTTTTTTAAAATATATCTTTATTGATTTCAGAGAGAGTAGAGGAGAAAGGGAGAGAAAGAGAGAAACATCAATGATGAGAGAGTCACTGATCGGCTGCCTCCTGCACGCCCCTGAATGGGGATCAAGCCCGCAACCCAGGCATGTGCCCTGACTGGGAATCGAACCCTGATCGCCTGCATCCTAGGCCGACGCTTAACTGCTGAGCCACACCTGGCTGGGCAGCAATTTTTTATTTAAAGAAATATCTAATATCTAATATAAAAACCAAAAGAAATTTTTTTCCTTTAAAAAAATTTATATTATTTGTATCTTTTAATTTGTCATTATATTGCTGAGATTCTAACAGCAAAAGATTTTATTGAGCTAGGAAGTAATGAACTCTGAAGCATTTTTAAAAATCAGTTTTACCGCAAAGATGTTACTTTAGGACCCCTTCAGGTCTGAATGAGTAATTGGAAATTTGTTCAACTTATTGTTTCCTCTAAAAGCATTTTCACTTGTGAATAGGAGGCATCAATGAGCAATACATTGCAGTAACTGGGCTTTCACTCAGAAAATTATCAAAGTGCCTGGCCAGCGTGGCTCAGCGGTTCAGCATCGACCTAGGATCCAGGAGATGACTGTTCGATTCCCAGTCAGGGCACATGCCCGGGTTGTGGACTCCATCCCCAGTTGGGGGCGTGCAGGAGGCAGCCGATCAATGACTCTCTCATCATTGATGTTTCTCTCTCTCTCCCTCTCTCTGAAATCAACAAAAACATATTTTTAAAAAAAATTATCAAAGAAACCATTAACAGCTATTCTAACATATCAATACAATGTTGGATCAATAAGTAAAGCAGTCAGCTAATCTGTGTTCACTGACCACAGCCACACTAAGCCCTTCGGGTTAGGGTTGGGGATGGGAGTGGAGCTAACTCTGTAACTCAGGCAACAGAAGGCTGGTGTGAACCTTCTGAGGACTTCTGGAACCTAAGCTGTTGTAGATGGTCATCAGTTCCCTCCTTCTGCCATGTGACTGTAGTGCCTCCCACTAGAGAAGTGGGCGCAGACAGCGTCCCTGACCCAGGGTGTTGGGCTTGGCCACGTGGCCTGTCCCAGGCATGAATGTCAGCAGACAGGATGCGAGTGGAAGCCACACATGCACTGTGTGGTCCAGCCTGCCCTCCTGAACTTCAGCCATCTATCAGGAGACCATCATGCCAGAGGCAACTGTTCTCAGAGAGAGCCACACCACTCACCTGCAGAGTCCTAAGTTTGTTGTCTTACACTTTAGGACCTGAAGGATGTTTTGTTTGTTAAGCAGTATTATTTCAGCAATAGCTGACTGATACAGGGTCCCAAGCAGGTTGATTTTCCCAAATCTCCTGCAGAAAGTGACCGACATCCACATGGTCCAACAAGCACAACCCTCTTTCCCTATCCCCTTTCTTTCCCCAAGTTCTCCCTTCATAGCAGGAAGCTCCTACATGACTTCTGTGTCTCCTACCAGCTGCTGCCCCAGGCTGCCTTTGGGTCAGAATATGATAAAGGATGGAAGTGCTGCTGCTGTCACAGCCTGGGATCCTACGTGTCGGGTGTTGGCTCCCAATACCTAGAACAAGTGTCTGAGCCTCCTAGTCTCCTGGGTACAGGCGGACCCTGAAAGGCCTGGCTTTTGAGGGAGCACTGAAGACAAATTTCACTGGATATTCTGCCTCTTCCTCTATTTCTCCAGAAGAAAATCAAATCTTACTTAATGTGCCAGGATTATATTCCCACCCCTTCACCTTCCTCAAGACTAAAAAAAAAGATGCACTGACAGGGAGAAAGCGAAAAGATGGCTGTCACAGTGAGGTGGATCTGTTCACAAACTCAAAGAACACTTTGCAGTAAAATGAAACGTGCCTGGGATGGGCACACACACCTTTGCTAACCCTGAGCTACCACAGCCGACAGTTTCTCCACAGGAAACAGCCACCATCAGCGGGAGGAGGAGGGACCTGGCGCTTCTGGAAGCTGCGCGCAAGTGGACCCTGGCTCCCTCACCTGCCCCAGCAGGGTCCTGTTGGTGCCCAGTTTATGCCGCTCGATACTTCTCCTCACGTACACTCTTTCTGCAGGAGTCAGGTCTTCTTTCATCAGTGCGTGTAGTTCTTTTAATTGCTCATTGGCACTTTCGGAGCCAGCGTGCAGGCTTGAAAAGAGTGACATAGAAGAATACCCCTTTATTCCGTTTCGTAACATTACAAGAAAGTTAAACACAGATTTTCTAAGTTAACCGAGAAAAAAATAAGGCTTTCTCTTCTCTTCTTCAAAAACCCAACTTAAGGTAAGAGTTATATAAAATTATTATACTTCTGAGCATTCTGTGACTTCTGGAATTAAGCATTCTCACCTATAAGGTAAAACTGGCTTGGCGATCTTCCTAACACTCCCAACTCGGACAAATTTTTCGAATCCGAGACTGAGAAGCCTTTAAACAAAACAAGGTAAGATAGATTCTGGTTATTTAGAAAGTAGAGTATAAAACAAAGTTTCATGTAACATTTATGTTATTAAAATTAATTTTGGGTGACAGTGTATTTTATAGTTACATAATTTAATGTGAAATGCAATGTGGCTAAAAGGGTTTTTAATATAATGCACCTTGCCCAGCCGAGCGTGGCTCAGCAGTTGAGCATCGACCTAGGATCCAGGAGATCACTGTTCGATTCCTGGTCAGGGCACATGCGCAGGTTGCGGGCTTGATCCCCAGTCGGGGGTGTGCAGTAGGCAGCTGATCAATGACTCTCATCATTGATGTTTCTATCTCTCTCTCCCTTTCCCTTCCTCTCTCTGAAACCAATAAAGATATATTTAAAAAATATATATACATATATAATGCAACTTATATAGGATTTAAAATATGCATTACCTTCCATTGAGAGTTCATTAAATGTTACTCAGGAGAGCCTTTCTAAAGGGCAAGCTTGCAAAGTTTGTTCCTGACTTTTATTCTAGGCCAAGGACCTTTTCCTAAGAAAAGTCAGAAGCGGAGACAAAGATTTATGTTTAAGGGTCTTTGTCACCATGTTATTTATAATGGGGAAAATTTGGAAAGAACTAAGTATTGCTTAATTAAAGTATGGTATAAGCAAATCACTACATATAATAGAGCTATAAAAAAGTACATTTTCTAAGAAGATTTAAAAAGAGGACACAACACAACATATACCATTCATATCAAGTTTGGAAAACAAAATGAGTGTGTGTATATATAAAAAAAATCTGTAAAGAAATATAATATCTATACAGACTGCATATTTTTACCATAAAGTTCATTTTTTAAAAGTCTACATTTATACATAAGGAATTATTTCTCCCAATCAAACTTTTCATTTATGTTGAAATTCAGATCATTAAACACTGGTAAAATCTTACGTAACATCTGTTTGCGATTTTAATAAAATCTTAATCATAAAAACTGTGCAGAACAAGTCGTGCTGCTGCCTTCCTCAGAGCCTCGTATGAAACCAGAGCCTAAGCTGTTCGGCTGCTTCACCTGTCTGTGCTGGGACATACACACTTTCAGCTCCATCCAAAGTCACAGATGCAGAAACCAAGGGCTTTTACTAGTGGCACAGGAACCGGCGTACGCATTGCATCTGCGCTGGCTCCCCTGGATCCGAGCCCCATAGGATGAGCAGGGTCCAGAGGGAACCTACACATGCAGAGGGCTGAGCTGTAGAAGGAACACTGAGCTTGGGGGCCCACTAGTTTATAATGAGCAGTGAGTAAGGCTCTCTGTCCTGGAGGGAGACACCAGTTCATCAGTCTGCCTGCTGCCGACACAACCTTGAGCTGAGGTCTGTCTTGGGTAAGGGTGGTCAGGGCCCTGCGTCCTGAGCATCCCAGCCCTATATGGTCTTGGCTGGACTCAAATTTTTACATGAATGGATATCCTATCCTTGTGTCAAAGTTGTCAGGTTTGATATCTGATTTTCTACAACTTACTAACAAGTTAGCTGGTTGCCATCTCGTGGATGTTGCTTGAGTCAGAGACAAAGGTCCTGCATTTCTGGGCCCCAGGAAGATGGCCTTTCTCAACAAGAGACTTAAAACACAAGCTACTTAAACACTCTTGTCATACCCACCCGAGGAGTACTCTGTCTACAGCTACGTTAGTGGAAGAAGAAACCAGAACTTTCCATGGTCTTGCATTTCCAGCTGTAGGAGCTTCACTTTCTTCAAATAGCTGCACAAAAAACAAAATCACCACTGCCAGCAAATAGCTCTTTCCTGCTCCAAAAACACCTAATTGTTTGGAAGAAAGGGAAATAAATAACAGTATTATAAATAAATTTCTGAAAGCACAAGAAATAATTTCACTATCTCCCTCGCCTTCATTTAACTAATTTATTAAAAAAATATGAATAGGCCCTAGCCAGTTTGGCTCAGTGGTTAGAGCATCTGCCTGTGGACTGAAGGGTTGCAGGCTCAATTGCAGGCTCGATCCATGGCCCTGGTTGGGGCAAGTGCGGGAGGCAACCAATCCATGTGTCTCTCTCACACTGATATTTCTTCTCTCTCTCTCCTTTCCACTCTCTATGAAAAGCAATGGAAAAAATATCCTCAGGGAAAGATTAAAAAAAAAAACCCAAAACATGAATAGAATGCCCAGTATGTGCTCAGCACAGGGATAAACAAATAAATAACCAAAAGACCTCTTAGTAAGACCAGTCTACTTAGGAAGACAGACAAAAAGGGAACAATAATGAAATCACATGGTGGGGAAGGGAGAAAAGGCCAAAGGGGTCAAAAAAATGTGATGGAAGGAAACCAGGCTTCAGTACACAGATGTCAAATTATAATCTTATATACCTAACATATAACGCTATTAATGTTACTCCAATCAATTTAATACAAAGTAATCAACATGGTAAGTAACCCTGTGATTGTATCAGAGAAAGAACACCTCTGATTTGGTGGAGGTGGGCATGCTTCCTCCAAACGAGCAGCAGCAGAGCTGTCTCCCAGAGAAGACGAGCAGGCGCTCCAAGCAAAGGGTCATTCTGGGCAGAGGCTTGGAGAAGCACACGCTGTTAAGTACTTCTATGCAGAGGATTACCTGCAGCCAGGTGCTGACCAGGAGACTGGTTACAGAGGGTTACCTGCAGCTAGGCGCTGACCAGGAGACTGATTAGAGAGGGTTACCACAGCCGGGCGCCGACCGGCACTGCCCTTCCCAGCTCCTCACCGTGGATGGTGGTGATGGGGAGGGGGCAGGTGGGCAGCTCCTTCACTCCCTCCGCACGTCCCTGCGATGCTACCATCCGAGCTATCTGGGCGAGAGCGGCCGCTTGACCCTCGTTTAACTTGTGTGCCTGGATTAACTTGCCAGCTAACTGCAGTGCTGCTTCTAGGCTGGGCAGGTCACAGTGCGTGCTGGTCTTTGAGAAGGCCGGTGGAATAAATTTTCTGTTACCGACGCTCTTGTTGCTGACTGTAGTGGATGAAGGCCTAGTAAAGGGGCAGCAAATAAAATCAAAGAAATGAGCGGCTTTTGAAATAGGCGAGCAGACCTATTTATAACTTAACCTTCACTTTTAAGCACTTCAGAACATCGTTTCGTGGACACAAGCGAATATCCTCCAACCTGGAGGCGGGTAGGAAAGAAAAGAACGAACATTTGTTGAATGCCTACTGCGTGCATGCGGGTGGGCACTGTGCTGAGTGCTGCATCTATTATTTGTTGTAATCTTCACAACATGAGGAAGTAATTAATTTACCCAAATAGAGATACACAAAATATTAAATGCTTTTCCCAAAAAGTACTAAGTGGTATACTGACACTGAAGCCCATGCTTTATTATGCAAGCTAGCTTAGGAAATTAAAATAGTCTCTATTTCAAGTAAAACTGTCAGAGATAAATGGACTTTTTCAAAGGACAAAAATAACATCCTGAAATTACATGGATTTTTTAACCTAGGGCTTCATCATGGTAAGAAAAACGAACCACCACCAGATAGACCACAACATTCCAAATTCGAAACTAGTTTTCTGTCATTTAATTTAATAAAATATCACTTCCATTTTTTTTAAAAAATATGTTTTTATTGATTTCAGAGTGGAAGAGAGAGAGAAACATCAATGATGAGAGAGAGTCATTGATCAGGCTGCCTCCTACACGCCCCCAACTGGGGACTGAGCCTGAAACCGGGGCATGTGCCCTGACAGGGAATCAAACCGTGATCACCTGGTTCATGGGTCAATGCTCAACCACTGAGCCATGCCAGTCTGGCCTTCCAATTTTTTTAAAGGGGGCATGGTGCTCAAGAAATTAAAAATGAGATAAAAATCTTTGTCAAAAATAAAACTAATACTGGATTCAAGCTTAAAATAATTATTTAAAAGATTTTTAATTGAATAAATCTGACATATAACATTGTAAATTTAAGGTGTATAACATGATACTTTTATACTGTAAAATAATTCTTTTTAATGTTAAGTAATTTGTGGCATAAAAATACAGACAAATAAAAAAAAAATCACTACTCAAATGATCCTTAAGAAATTATTCCAACACAGGGGAAAATCTGCAGCACTATTGATTCATCCACCCTCAATGAAGAGACAGATGGGTGAACGCTTGGTTGATGGGAAGCAATGTATCTCTCATTCTCTTTTAATTTTCAACTACTGACAGAGAGCACTCTGGCAGTCTCTGAAAGACGGATTAAAATTTTGTTGGCAAAATTTACGGGATGTGCTTTTACTGCATTTCCATGTTCACATTTAGCCTGTGTTTCTGAATAGCTGCCATCCAGAGGTGAAGGACTTACATTGCTAGCAGGTGCGGTGTTAGAGGCAGAGTCGCCGGGTTAAAGTGGTCCTGCATGTTTCTCAGAGCGGTCAGCTCCATGCTGGCATTGCAGACCCTCAGCGCATGGACCACTGCTGCAGAGAGGACAGAGGGTGAGCATCAATGCACAGGGAAAGGGCCATCAGCACTCTATTGAGCGCCCACATAACTCAGAGGCGGGCTACTGGATGGATGAAGCCCAGGATGGCAACAAGTGCTCAGCATGTGCGCGGGTCCCAGGACTGCACCTACAGGGCACAGCCCACACAACAGCCGATGGACAGATGCTGCGTAGTCACGTGGGTGACACGCCGACAGTCGGCACACTGCCATGTGCCTGCAGAATCTGTCATTTGTGAGCATTTTGTTGCATTTCTTCCACAATTATTTCATAGAACTATAGGGAAAGCAGGAAATTAGATGCTGATGTTGGTGAGGATGCACTGAAAGTGACAAATGTTCATTTAACTAGGCAGCTGAACTCCAGCTGGTCTACTCAGTTTTGACACAAAATGTCGAAAGTTAACACGTGAATGAAATACTTGAATGTGTTATTACATGTTGTGTCTCTAATAAGTCATGGGCCAAATCTGGCCATGAGAAATTATTCCAGAGCTGACAATGCGGGAGATGCCCAGATTCCTCAAGGGGTGGGACTGGATCCTTGAGTAATGAGGCTGTCGGCCCTCAGCCTCACCAAGAGCTTCCCAGGGTGGTGATAACATCCCTCCAAATAAAACTCACCCTCCAGCTCAATTGCTCCCAAAATCTCTTGCAAAACCTGAGAACTTCTCAATATAAAAATAAATTATTTCTTTACAGTGTGTGCTATCAGAATAATAAACGAAGGGAATTAAATAAATCCAGAGAATCGGAACTTGATACAAGAAATTATTTGAAAAAACTCATTTAAAAATCAGGTATATGCTGTGTAAATTCAACTTCAACAAAATACTTAAGTGCAGGGTGAAGATGTTATGGCACTGATAGGCCTCTGGGACTGAGCTGCAGAAATGTTTATACAGTCAACTGCCATGCACATTTTCAGGAAGCACAACTGGGTGCTTTTTCTCAGCTTTAACCAACGAATCCCACACAAGTTAGCATTCTTGCTCACAGCATACCTCATGGCTGTCTTCTCCTTTACTATAAATTAAGGCTGGCATGGCAGTACTTACTGTCCCTGGGCCAGTTGGAGGGGAAGTAGCCTTTCAAAGGGAGCAGCTCCACCTCGTTGACAGCTGAGGGCCCAAAGAAAGCACTGCAGGCAATGAAAGTGTCCAGCTCAAAGTCCAGGGTTTTGGAGACCACCCACAGGTCGTCTGAAAAAAAACACAAAACACTTTAAAAGAACTCAGAACTATGCTCAATGCAACTATGCTACTTTGGATTTCTTGGTCTTACATCATTTCTCAAAAAAAAAATTGGTTATTGTCATCTGCAAGTTTCTATCCAAACTAGAACCTTGACATATAACATTTCACTTCCACATTTTTAACTAGATTACGTCTATGTTTTTAAAGTTATTTTATAATTTAAAAAAACCAATGTAAATAAAGCAAAAACAACATCTAACTCATCTTTTCCTTCTAAAACAGCTTCAGAGCTACATCAGACTTTCCCAACGTAGACTATTAATCCACAGCAGCGATTTTCAACCTTTGTCATCTCATGGCACATAAACTAATTGCTAAAATTCTGCAGCACACCAAAAAAATATATATATTTTGCCAATTTCACACAAAAAATAGGTTACAATTTTGATTCATTCACACTGGATGGCTATTGTTGTGTTGGCTGTTGGCATTTTTTTTATTTGACCATCTAAGAGAAAAGAGGTCAGTGCCCCTGACTAAATAGGCATTGCATGTTTTAAACATTCTTGCAGCCAGGGCGGGCGTGGCTCACCGGTTGAGCATCGACCTAGGATCCAGGAGATCGTTATTCGATTCCCAGTCGGGGCACATGCCGGGGTTGTGGGCTCGATCCCCAGCTGGGGGCCTGCAGGAGGCAGCTGATCAATGATTCTCTCATCATTGATGTTTCTCTCTCTCTGAAATCAATAAAGGTACATTAGAAAAAAAAAATTCTTGCAGCACACCAGTTGAAAATTGCTGGTCTAGGGAGATGCTCTGCCATATAGTGGTTTCCATGCTCAAATAAGGTCTGCAACCCACTCTCTTAACAGACCTCCGCTAAACTGAGGCTGTAGAACCTTCCCACCCACCCATCTCCACAGCGCACTGGGCACCAGAAGCCAGCAGGCCACTGTCCAGAACACCTGAGTACAACTTCTACCGCCAGTGAAGTTAACACTTACAGAGAGTCAACTGTAGCCCTGGACTGTGTGGCTCAGTTGGTTGAGTGTTGCCCTGTGCACTGAAAGGTTGGATTCCCAGTCAGGGCACATGCCCAAGTTGCGAGTTCGATCCTGGCTGGGGTGTGTGTGGGAGGCAACTGACAATGTTTCTCTCTCACATCGATGTTTCTCTCCCTTTCTCTCTCTCAAATTAATAAAAACATCAAAAAACACACTTATTTATACCACTTGTACCTGTTGTCATAATCATATAACTAATTATGTATTACTGAACCATTAAGAGTGTGAAGAAAAAAACTTTAAAAAAACTTAAGTGAAGAACTTAGACTTAATTTAAAAGATTTCCTAAAGAAAGGGACCCAAAATGCAAAAAACTGCTTCTGACTCAAGTACAGATGAAATCATCCATGCAAAACATTAGAAAAGAGAGTGAAAAAATTTAAATAATTATCCACTTAAGTTACTTCAGAAGTGTCTCAGTCCTTGCCCATGTTTAACCACTCAAAGTAGCCTATTTATGGACAGTGCACTTGTGGTTGTGGTTTACACAGAATGGTGAACAGCACCTCCAATCAAAAACCCAGATCTGAACAAAAGCCTTCACTCTTTGTCAAAAGATCATCAGACAAAAATATATTCATACATTTTAAGATAAAATGTTTAATGTTCATATGTATTATTTTTTATAATCCTGACTTTAAACAACTTTTAAAATTAACGGACCAAGCATGAGTCTCAGTTGCATTAGAAAAGCCAGCTCCCTGGGTGACGTTCCCATCTTGGAAAGGGCAATGCACAGCAACAGATTAAGGCTCTGGGAAGTCTTGGGTTGAGGTTAGGTGTTTAATATAGCACCTTCCAGATTTATTCAGCCACAGAACCTATTCTTTACATTAACTCTTACCAACAGCCCCCAGAACTATTATTTTAGTAAATATGTTTAGGAAACTACTTTAGAAAAAGTTGAGCTATATTACAGTATATCTTATACCTAATTTACTTAAAAGTATTGCCAATTGAGGTAACATATTTAAGCAGTTTCTTCTCATTTGCTAATATTTACTTTATTGAACATTTGCCAAAATTCATAAAAAAATATCTAATTCAAGACAGTTGCCAGGAAGTTTGTTCCCTCTCCTTTTCACCTGCGTCCCACTGAAATGACTGTACTGACACAAGACAGGGCTTGGGTCAGGCAGGAAAGCCACACTCACTTCAGAGAAGTGAGATTCTTATGGAAGCCACAGGAAATGAGAAGAATGATAAAATCCTACAAAGCTGGGAAACTCCTAATCCTTGCAGATGATAGAAAGGAATTCTGGGGGGAAAAGTGAGAATTTTTCCAGTAGACTCCCAGGAAAACCCCAAGCTCAGCAACCACAGGAAGACAGTGCAGTGGGTGTAGAAAGTAGGCTGGGGCACATTTAAAATGCCAGATAGGTGGAGTGTTGTTATTATTATTATTATTGTTGTTATTCTCTGGACAGAGAAGTTAAATAAATTATCCATAGACAGAGGGTGAGTAAACTGCAGATCTGGGACTGAGTCCAACTCCCTGAGCTCACTGGAGCCCCAGACTAGGCCGGCCTCCCCCACAGGCATTGCCAGAAGGAACATCTGATGCCCCAGGGGGAAATCAGTTCATAGGCCAAATAATGAGACATTTAAAGGGCACAAAGGCTTCAAGAGAAAAACACACTGGATTTCAGAGTCCTTCAGAAAAGGAAACACCAGAACAGATGGACGAACTCTAGTTAGCCTGGCAAAAAGGTGAAGAGTAGGGGAGGTGCAGCAATACCAACTAAGAACAACAAACTACAAAAAAGAAGTGAACAAAAATGTTACTTTGGAGAAATACAGTAGTTGAAATAAAGTAATAATTGATGGGATAAACAGAATGGATACATCTGAAAAATAAGCAATTTAGAAGGAAGATAAGACAAAACCCCAAACAACGTAAAAGCCATGTGAAGAGATTAGACATCAGATTTAGAAGTGCTAACATCTGAATAGTAAAAGTTCTAGAGATAGAAATAAAAATAAGAGGGAAATTATCTGAAGAAATAATGGAGATCAATTTCCCAGAACTAAAAGTACAGCTTTTCCCAATATATGTATACAAACCAGACAATCGTGCTGTACTTCATGTTCAGACGACCATGCCATTAAGTTACAGCATGAAGGAACTATTATCAGTGAGCAAAAAGACAGAGAAGCCAAAATACTGTGAAAGAAACCAATAAGCAGTTCAAAAGAAAAAATAGCTGAGATGGAACATGGACCCATGGCAGCAGACATTCCAAATTCGCCATCAAGGCCTCTGAAAGGATCCTGTAGTTCCTTCTGAACCCAGAAGACACCTGCTGACTCCAAAATGAAAATGTTACATCAAACCAGAAAAAAGAAAGAGTCCATCCGACAGTTCACTGGTGGTAACAGTGATGGAGAATTACAGGAAGGAGGGAAGGAGCACTTTGATGACAGCACAGGAGAGAGGTTTTAGAAAGCCTCCCATGTCTGAGCATAGTGACGGTGGTGATGACTTCTTCATGGGAGAGTCAGATGGAAACAAGAAAAGGAAAGCAGTGGCCATTCTTCAGTTTTGGAACAAAGTCCTCCCAAAAAGTGTTCCCTGAAGAAGACATACTTGAAACTGCTCAGGGTACAAGAAATGACAAAAACAAGTCAAGTACAGACGCAAGGAAGTCTGGATCAGTGTTTTCCCATTCCTTATCTACATCTAAAAGCTCTAGAAGAAATACAGACAACAGGCTCCAAAAAGAAAAACCCCAGGTTTTCAGCAAAATGAACCTCAGCTCAAGAATCAGGTTAAGAGTGGAGAGAGGGCCTGAAAATGCCAGCAGGTGTGCTGCCTCTGCTTCCTTCACGGAGCAAGCAAGAGGTGAAAGGAAAGCACTCGAAAAATGCTGGGTTTCGGGGGAGAATTACATTTGATGACTGAATTTTCCCATCTAAAAATTCTTTCTTTCTCTGTGTGGTTTGTTTTTTTTACCAGCCCATTATTTAAACTCATATTTGAATAAATCTCTTTGGAGGGTTGAAATAAGTTTTTTTTAAAAAGCTACTCATATTTTTAATATATATACATATTTTTATTGATTTTACAGAGAGAGGAAGAGAGAGGGAGAGAGAGAGAACCATCAGTGTGAGAGAGAAACATCAATCAGTTGCCTCTTATCTGCACCCCACCAGGGATCGAGCCCGCACGCAAGCTGGGCATGTGCCTTGACCAGGAATCGAACCACTGACCTGTAAGTGCACGGGCCGATGCTCAACCAACTAAGCCACCTGGCCAGGGAAAGTTTATACTGTTGTCTTTTTAAGTGAGTTCAAGTTGTGTTTACATAAACTTTTCATAAATAAACTGCATAAATTGATTTTTTTCCATTTTCCTTTTCACTGAATTTATTGGGGTGGCACTGGCTACATAAACTGATTTTTAAAAATATGCCCAGACTGTCCCCTTTATTAAAAAATTTTGAGATTATAACTCTCAGATTTCCTTATTTGTGCTCATCATGAAGTGGATTAGATCTGTGTTTCTTTGTCTTGAAAATAAATGTTGAGATATATTTGAAATAATAATGGAAAAATATGAGGAAATTTTAGCTATTTAAAGTCGATTACCTCTGCTAAAAGTTATTTTTGTTAGCAAAACCAAGATTAAGATAGCAGTTTATTATGGGTATACAGATAATAAATTATACAAGTAAATATTAATTTTTATTATAGTTTTAATTATTTATGATTTTGTACTTTTTTACTGTTTTAGTTCTCCAGGACAATTTTGGATTTCTGAATTATATTCCAATTATTTAGGAAACATACATTGTTTAAATGTAGCAACACAACCAAAAATTGGTTTTTATATTTCACTGCCTATAAATATTTCAGTTAAATCCAGAATGTACATTTAATTACGTGGCCACATGCTCTTATAGAAACATTTTTTGAGGACCCATAGATTGGAATTTACATGAACAGGCTGTGAAGGGAGGTATGGTTGAAAGGCCCTTTCCAGTGACAGCTGGACAGACTGGCTAAGACGACTCATGGAGGAAGCGCCTCCTCTACACAGTGCAGTAGTTTTAGTCCCTTCCAAAGTTCTACTTTTGCTGCTCTAGGAGGAATGAAATAAAAGTAACTAAGCTCTGAAAAAAAGTAAATAAAGAGTTTACAGCCCGGCCGGGCGTGGCTCAGTGGTTGAGCGTCGACCTAGGATCCAGGCGATTGGAGTTCAATTCCTGGTCAGGGCACATACCTGGGTTGCGGGCTCGATCATTGATGTTTCTCTCTCTCTCTCTCCCGTCCTCTCTCGGAAATCAATAAAGATATATATTTATATATATATAAAAAAAGAGTTTACAGAGCTGTATGTAGCTGAGAGGCAAGGCTAGCCTAAGTCACAATGTGATCAGATCAACTTACCTTTGCTGTAAGTTGAAGAACTTTCCTTCCGACTCAGCTTAAGATAAAGCTTGCTTTTAGGTTCATTACAGAATTCAGGATTTACAGTCATAAACTTCTTTAGTTTGCCGTACTGTTTTCTATGAAAATCAAATCTTTTCCTGCAAAATTAGTAAAAACCAAAAATGAATTTGAATATTAAGTTACAATTTTTTTCTTAATGAAATATAATTGGTATACACATTATATGAGCTCAGGTATACAACATAACAATTTTACATAGGTAGTGAAGTGATGACCACAATAAGTCTATTTAACATACATGGTTACACATCTTTTTCCTTGTGATGAGAACTTTTAAGATTTACTCTCTTAGCAACTTTCAAATGTACTTATATATGGTATTACTAACCATAGTCACCATGCTGTACATGACACCCCCAGGACTTATTTTAACAAAATTTGNGTACTATATATGGTATTACTAACCATAGTCACCATGCTGTACATGACACCCCCAGGACTTATTTTAACAAAATTTGAAGGTACAGTCATTTTAAAATCTTGTTTTAAAATACAGTATGAAAAGAACCAGGGTGTGTGTATATTTATGTTCTTTCATACATACGTACAAAATAAACACATACTATGTCAAAGGAAGGAAGCAGCGGCCCTCACAGAATTATCACCTGTTTTAAGAGAGATTGAGATAGAAAAAGTATCTAAGCAACTAAGGAGCTGCTGTAACTGTAAAATGGGAATAATAAATTAGCCCCATTACTTCCATATCTTATAGGTTATCACGATAATTAAATAAGACACACAAAATGCTTAGAAGAGTGCCCGGCACATGTAAGCTCCCAGTGCATACTGTTCTTATAAAATTATCAGGCACATACTCACTGTTTGCCTCTGGGTGAGCCTACTTCTATAAGACATGTTTCCAAACAGCAGCACTATCCTGCACACCATGTAATTCGGGCTGTGACAGACCACCACCTGGTATCCTGCCCTCATCAAACCATTCTTGTGTTTTTTTTCAATACAGTTTCCCTTGTGATTGTGATTACATATAAAAATGGTTAGAAAAACTGCATTCCTGCCAGTTAACCCTGATGTTGCTGACACTGCCTGATATTCAGAGAAGCCAAAATAGCTTTAGAGAACTGTTCCCATTTCAGTTAGAAACACTGAGGTACTCTATGGCTTAGATACTTTACCTATCTCAATCTCTTAAAACTGAGGGTACACTCTGATATAATAAGAGACAATTGTTTGTTATCCTAAAACATACCTCACCAAAAGCTGGCATTCCTCATAGAGGGGTATTTTCTGACTTCTTAAGTATAAGCCAATGCTCTTTATATCACTTAAAACCATTGCAGGTGGAGAATCCTCCTGGGTTAAATGTCCTGGGGCCACTTCTTCAAGCCACTTAAAAAATTTACATCGCTCAGCTTTGGGTGCATCACAGGTATAAAAAAGACGACCCTAGGGGAAGAAGATAATAAAATTTAGTGAGAAAAATATGTTTCTACTTTTTACTGTTTTTGTATATTTTTTTTGTAAGGGAAAGTTTTTGGGTTTTTTATTAATTTGAGAGAGAAACATCGATTTGGTGTTCCACTTATTCATGCATTCATTGGTTGATTCCTGTATGTGCCCTGACTGGGAATCAAACCTGCAACCTTGGACAATGCTCTAATCAACTGAGCCACCCAGCCAGGGCTTGCACTATGTTTAAGACTTTTACAAAGGTTGCTTGGCATTAATGTACTCCAATAAATCAGTCATTATACAACTCAATCTTTTCATTAATTTAAACCATAAATTAAAATTTAAAACCACCTAGTTTTCCATTTGTCTCCTTATCAAAAAGTTACATGTTGCATTATTTTGAGAATATAAGCCTATTTGAAAAATGAAATTGTTTTTCTGATTTAAAATGATCACTACAGACAATCTTCGAGCTGCCCAGAAGCAGCTACAGGTATGAGGAGAACCTGGTGCATTTCTTTCTAGCCTTTTCTCTCTCACTGAAGTGCACATGCACACACGATACACATGTGTAGTGTTGTTTTTTAAAATGANAATCAAACCTGCAACCTTGGACAATGCTCTAATCAACTGAGCCACCCAGCCAGGGCTTGCACTATGTTTAAGACTTTTACAAAGGTTGCTTGGCATTAATGTACTCCAATAAATCAGTCATTATACAACTCAATCTTTTCATTAATTTAAACCATAAATTAAAATTTAAAACCACCTAGTTTTCCATTTGTCTCCTTATCAAAAAGTTACATGTTGCATTATTTTGAGAATATAAGCCTATTTGAAAAATGAAATTGTTTTTCTGATTTAAAATGATCACTACAGACAATCTTCGAGCTGCCCAGAAGCAGCTACAGGTATGAGGAGAACCTGGTGCATTTCTTTCTAGCCTTTTCTCTCTCACTGAAGTGCACATGCACACACGATACACATGTGTAGTGTTGTTTTTTAAAATGAAACTCAGTAGAAACATTTTCTACTCTATAACCTAACCCTTATAGCCAACAACATACTATTAGTAAGCCAATCATGCCATCAAATAATCATAAAAAGACTTTTAGTGGCTCTACACTTTATTCTATGGTTCTAATATTACATACAGACTTTTGCTTTTGACAACTATATTTAAATCCAAGTTTACATACTCAGGGTGCAAACAATGGAAACTGTGTTCCTGTGAGAGCCTGGTCTTACAGTGAGGACAATCCATCCATCGCTACACAAACATTTTACTCACTTCTCCCATAACAGTGTGTATTCGGCAAAATAAGTCAATCAGGGTGCTTTCCTGCCCCTCAGGCCCCCTCTGGTTGGAGTCCTGGGTCCCTTCCTCCAGGCTCTGGTTCCCCACTCCCAAGCCCATGGGCTCTCACTGGAGCTTGGGCGTATTCTTCCTGCCTTATCAACCACAATGTGCAACATTTCCTTCTATGTCTCTCTCCACCCACTACTTTTTAAAAAATATATATGTTTTTATTGATTTTAGAGAGGAGGAGAGTGAGATAGAAACATCAATGAGAGAAACACTGATCAGTTGCCTCCTACATGCCCCCTACTGGGGATCAAGCTCAAAACCCAGGCATGTGCCCTGACTGGGTTACCGGTGACCTATTGGTTCATGGATGGGTGGATGTTCAACCACTGAGCCACACTGGCCGGGCTCTACCCACTACTTTGCAATAAGTTCCTAAGCTGCCTGAAGGTGGATCTTCACTCATATTTTTGAATCCCTGAACAGAGATCATCTTTCAATGAAAACACACTGAGAGTTTGTTAGTTACTAAAGCCTCAGGCGAAGGCTCCTCATCTAAACTTACACTCCACTGAGCTCCTCAGAAAGCAACAGGCACCTACACCTTTTATGAAACAATTAGTGGACAACAGGAGGGGAAGAGGGAGCAGGACCTTATTTGGACCTTCCTTTTTAACCATGACAAGCTTGGCAGGTTGACGGTGATGGCAGGATGGCACATTATTTTCTACAGTTCTCCTTTTCTCTCCTTTCAACGACATGTAAAATGATATGTCAACTGTTGAGAGAGCTTTGTGCAGCCTCTGTGCCAACCCGAACAGCAATATGTTCAGATGTTCTACAAAAGACACAGGTGAAAATTAAATGCAAAATAATTTCGTACTTGCATCACATATGTGCTATTTGTGAGTTAAATATGAAAAGAGCCTTTTAACAGAGTAAACTATAACCGAACACTAATACCCACATTTTAAAGGTAAGTTTTGCCTTTGTATAACAGAATGAGCTCTCAAATCACGTGTCATACTTAAAATTTCCTACTTGACAAGACCATCTGTAACACTTTGAGTTTAAAAGAAAATGAAGAACTATAACCTGGAAAAGATAATACTGTCATTTCCCATTTTTAAAACTCAGCTTTGACTTGATATTGAAGTTACTGTCAAATACTGGAGTAAACATGGGAAACAACAAACCTCAAGTAGAAAATTTAAAATGAAAGCTCACAATAAACGATACATTTCTTACAGCTATACCACCTCCACTAAGCAGCAATCAATCACAATAAAACAAAAAGGTAACAGGCATACCTGTGAGACAGGCTGTAAAGACCTGCTTATAATGAGCGGGAGACTGAAAGACAGCGGGTATGTGAGTCCGCCTTCGGGGAAGGAGAACAGATTTTATTTTCTGCCCACTTGGGAAGCATAGCTCAGAAACATTTATCTCCTGAAATGGAATAATTCAAGTTATTATAACAACTACAAAAAATGCTATTTACTAATGAGTAAATGATTTTCTATAGATATGTTTAAGAAAACAATTTTTTAAAAAAATTTCCAGAATCCTTGAAAATAATTTTCTAAGTTTAAATGAGAAACCAGTATAGCGAAAATGGCTATGCATGGCACTGTTAATAAACTGAACTAACTTTTCCTGACTGACCCTTAATAAATTTTAAATGGTCTTGCTAGGAAAGTTAACTGATATGAATGGATCACTATATATCTCCATCTCAGACCACAACTATAACAAGAATTGCTCACAATCAACGTGTATGAGATGTACCTTCACCTCAATGTTGATCTGATCCACAAACTGAGCTGACAGAGTAAAATAAGAACAGTCACAGAAACGGCAGATCCAGGAGAGGGGTGGAACAGTTGGAGCTATGATTAAGAACCTACTGTATGCGAAATACTGCACCAGACACTTTCAAATGGATAACTTCATTTAATGCTCACAACTGCTAGGAAAGATCTTAAATCCAAGATGTGACTGGAGCCAGAGTTACAGAAAACTCAAAAAAACCACAGCCATCAGCTCCAAGAGTATCTACTGGAACAAGTACACCAAGACGCTGGACACCTCCTCACCTGTAACCCTGATATGCTGCAGCTGGAGCAAGCAGGCTCTCCCAGCACATTCCGAACATCCTCAGCCTTGGAAGTAGGCTTGAACCTCAAAGAAAGTGCTTTCTCTCTGCAAACAAAATCCTGCAAGCTCACGCCCTGTTGCTCCTGATGGAGCACGCCTCTGACCACCTGCAGACACACAGAGTCTAATGACCTGTCCCTCCCAGCATCACTGTGTCTCTCAGCTGTGTCACTAAAACACATCCTGGGAACAGCCTTGGCAAAGAAGCCATCTGTGACACTCATATCCAGACTGTGCGGAGCCATCAGGTCACCCTGGGGTGTGTTCTGATATTTCAGCCACTTGCTTTGAGCGGATATTTGATTGAGGAGTGAGAGATCCCCTGGAGTCACTTCCCTAGACACCAAACATCGTCCAGGCTCTAGAAAATTGTGAGTATCTGCACAAAAAAAGCAAAAAATACCAATTTGCTTTGAAAAAACAATCACATACTTTTATTTCCTTTTTAAAAATAAAAAATTTAATGGTTTTAGTCTCAAAAGAAAAAAAAAGATTTCAAAGATGAATTAATAAATAGACTATGAAACTTTTTTAAGGTTGATGAACTTGGTACTTTTTCTTATCTCCCTGAGCTGAGGATTTCCCCCCCAATTACTACATTCTATTTACATGGCACAGTTGTTTTCAGAGAACTTTTAGTCAGGAAGGGAATTGTCACCCATTTCACAGATGAGATTACAGAGGCCTAGAGGTCACTCGACCAATGACCAATGGGCAGTCAGGTTGAGAACAATACTGTCCAGAAATAGACTATCCTCAACTTTATATTCCTTCTCTGGAGACTGAAGTTTGTGGTTCATTTATCTGCATCACTGTAACTTCCTTTACATGTTTATTACACTCATGAATTAATATGTTGACCTTCGGGGTATAGAATTTTAGCTTTAGTTTGATTTATTGGTATGTGGTAAGAGTTCATGTCTTGTAAACTCATGTTTTGGCAGATTTTGGCTGAGTGTAATAGATATATCCTTGAAAATGTAAAAAGCAACAATATTTGTTGAATAAATAAGTGATTGAATAATATTGTGTGAGAACTATACAAACTTAAGGTTTTTATCAGACAGCACTGTTTCTTATTTTATAATAAAGTACCTTTCTTGACAGTTTCTATTTTTTGGAAATAAATTGGAGACCATATAGGAAGCTAGAAGAGCAGTAGGTGAGCCAATGATACTTGTTCAACAAGTCATCAAGCAACACTGACAGAGAACTTAAAACCTCAGTAAAATGCAGAGACTCCTGGTGGCTGTGAAGGCACCTGTCACTGCACTGTCACCTCACCCGTCTCAGGCACCCCACCGCCACACTGGCTCTTCCCAACCTGTTTGCTCTACCAGCCACACCCACTACACCTGCTCCAGCCCAAACACCCACGCACATCGCAAAGTTCTTTTCCGTATCACCCACCCACGACAAAATAATTGCCTATGACTCCGCTCCCCATCCAACATAACCTCAGAATTGGGAGAAGCACAGACGAGATTACAGGGAGAGAGGAAAGGGTGAGTGGAAGGGTCCTACAGAAAGCCGGCTTTCAGGAAACAGGGAGTACTCACAGGGAAGTCAGGACACAGGGACTGGGCCTGGGCGCACGGCGCGCAGCACAGTTGAAGAGCGTGCCGGCACAGCCAGGACCCCAGAGCAGAAAGGGGGAAACAGAGGTTATCCTGGGACAACAGATGGTGTGGATCAGACATTCCCCTGGGAGGGAGGGGCTGCAGAGGGCTGGCTCTGGGTTACCACTGTGACCTTCTGGGGTGACTAGGAGCTGAGGGGAGGAACCAGAGCCAGAGGGAGGTGAGAGCCATCTGCAACAGGAAAAGTCCCAAGGAAAGAAGGCTGGGGAAGACTTCAGGGAGGACATGGGATCTGGCTCCAACACATTTTTAGTTATTAACAGTCTCTCAAATAAAAAGCTCTTCTTTTCCATGGGCAGATCGATACTGGAGCAAAATGGAACAACTCTCCAAGTTGGGAAAGTGAAGATCACCTGGTAAAGTCTGCGCTTTCAGGGACTCCTCAGAGAATTCCAACACAAAGTCTTCATCTCTTGAGTCCAGAGGAAAAAGAGACACAGGGGTTGATGCTAAGCCCTCCTGTGCTGGCGATGTCACCTATCAGGAAAGAAGAAACAAAGCTTCTTATTGCGTTTCCCATCTGAAAGTCTAGTTAGCTACACTGTGAAAACTGTAGAGCTACAGTGGGCACAGACTCTCCCAAAAGGGACACAACAGAATAAACTCACTAAAATCAACAGATAGTGGGGACTTCTGCGGGGCCCAGGTGAGAAAGCGCACCCCCGCCCCCAGTCCTGGAAACCCTGAAACCATGGATCACCCACTTTTGCTTTGCATGGTTTTTCTGGAAGCTCTGAAACTACCCTAAGCACAGAGCGTACTGTCTGAAGACCCAAGTCTGCACAGAACATGCTTCCTGGTGCTCAGGGAAACCTCTCGACTTGCTGGCTCTGTGCTTTTGAATATGTGGGTGGTGCTATCAGGTGTTCTGGGCCAGCAGTGGAGCCTATCATTCAGAATTCAGATACTGTCTTCTTTACAGAAAACCTCAGTGGACATTTCTATGGTATCCAAACAGGTGACACTGTTATTGCAAAAGGCCCAAGTGATCCAAAATCAAGTATCTGTAAATGAGTAATTGGTTTGAAAGGAGATAAAATCTTCACCAACAGCCCATTAGATTTATTTAAAAGCCATGGTTCTGTGCTAATGAGTCATGTTTGGTTAGAAGGTGGTAATCTGCACAGTTCTACAGATTCCAGGTGCCGTGGGCCTACTCCGTGTGCACTAAGAGGACATGTCTTCTTTAAGATCTGGCCTCTGAGTGACTTCACATTTCTACATGATGGCCTAAAGCCAGTTTCTGATGATTAGCAAGCATTCATTCTTGTCATGTCATTATTGTTTCCTGGTCAAGTGAATGTACTACCACTGAAACCATGTACTTAGTACTTACCAGTAAACTATTTGCTATTTAAAAATAAAAAAATGATAGAGTGAAATACAGAATGTAAACCTGTTGGATTTATTTGAAGCATGTCAGTCTCTGACTTGAGCTGATCCGGGTTATGGGGATCAGGTTCTAAGGATCAATTTCCCATCTGGGTGCTCAGGCTGAGACGTCATGTTTGGAGCAGGAAGACCCAATGACTGAGCAGCTTCCGTCACGCCCACGGGTCTAGAGCTGACCTACAGTTGACCTAAACTTCAAGATACTGCTCCCAAATGAGTGCTCTTTTTTGACAGGTTCCAGACCTCAACAATCATACTATTCACTGTTACTCTCTTTAGAAGTCCTTAATTTTGTTGTTGCTTTCAGAAATCAATCACCTTAAAAATCTAATGTGACTGAAGTGTTCCCCGCAAAATTCACTTTGAAGTCCTAACCCTCAATGTGACTATATTTGGAAATAGGGCCTTTAAGAGGTAATAAAAGTTAAATGAAGTCATGGGCTGAGGGGCCCTGATCCAAGAGAATTGGTGTCCTCTGCCCCACCCCCAAAGGTGCACACACAAGGAAAGGTCATGTGAGGACACAGAGAGTAGGCAGCCATCTGCGCCAGGAAGAGTCCTCAAGAGAAAACCAAATCAGCCAGAACATGGACCTTGGGCTTCCGGCCTCTGGAACTGTGAGAAATAAATCTGTGTAAGCCACACGCAGCTGGAGCTGACTGACATGCCCCTCCATCTTACTCACCAGTGTTCACCACCTCATCCACACCTCAGGAGTCAGGAGGCTTTCTCACCCTTCCCCTTACCCCACCCTCGACATCCAAAGCAGCAACATTCCATGCATTTCCTTCAAATTTTACCTTAAACCTCCTTATCAAATCCTCTGCACATTTCCTGCCACAATCCCCACTTCAAGCCACTATCATCTAAGGCTCCTCTCAACTGGTCTCCCTGCTCCCACTGCTCACCCATCAGACCCCTCCATCATATGTAAATTAAGTCACACAGCTTTCTGCTGCCACCCCTCCGGTGACAGCATCAAAGTTGTTACCCTCACAGGCAGGACTGGCAGGCCTGGTCTACGTACTTTCCCAAGCTCTTCCCCCTTTCACTCCTACAGTCCAGCTGGGGAGCGTCTTTCACTTTCTCCACCTGCCCAGTTCTGAAATCTCAGGAAGGACAGGTGACCCACTGCTGGGAGGGAGGGACACTCCCGGAAGCATGTCACCTGAGCCCATGTTCATGACAGCACCTGAACATCCATGGCAGCATTAGCTGTAACAGCCCCAACTGCAACAACCCTGCCTGAGGCACACACGATGAGCTGGGGGTATTCACACAATGGAACACACAGCAGCAACAGAACTGAGTGACCACAGTCGCAGGCAACAACAGGGATGAATTTCAAAACTGCTACATTGAACAAAGACACAAAACTGTGTATTACTCTATTTATGTACAATTTTTTGTTGTTAATCTTCACCCGAGGATATTTTTTTCCCATTGCTTTTTAGAGAGAGTGGGACAGAAGGAG